CCCAACTGCCCCCACCCCCACCTGGCTACCCAGCTCCCAAGCCTCCTGTGGGACCACAGGCAGCTGACATCTACATGCAGACGAAGAACAAACTCCGCCACGTGCAGACGGAGGCCCTCAAGAAGGAGGTAGTGAGCCCTCACCCCCTGCCTGCCTTCCAGCAGGGGGACTAGGCCGATGGGGGCCAGTGAGGCCAAAGGCCTGGCCTCACTAGTGGGCATAGGGTGGGGGTCCCTAGGTCCATGGCATGTTCAAGAGTCAAAGCTCCTGGCGAGTCCCATGAGGGGTCAGGGCTGGACACTGGACTGGGAGGAGAGTAAGAGCAGGTCACCGCCCTCCATGGGAGCTGGGGGGTGAAGGACGCAGGTCCAGACAGCTGTGCCTCACCAGGAACTGGGCCTGTGCCACCTCTTGCACAGAGTGGCTGGGTTGTCATGAAGTTGACAGAGAATTCATGGAGACTGCCCCTCCCCAAGCATGCCCCCACCACCCCCACAGCCCCAGGCTCAGTCAGAGAGTGTTACCCAAGGGAGGTGGCTGCCAGGTGGAAGGTGCCGGTGGCATGGCTGTGGAGGTGAGGGCTGGAAGGAGTGTGGGGGGAAGGTGAGCAGGCACTAGCAGGGCTGGGTGCCCACCGGCAGTGGGGGCTAGGAGGAAGTGAAGCTGTGGCTAGTTCCAGTTTAGGGTTCGAGATCCTGGGGGAAAGGGCCAGGCCTGAGCTGGGAGCCCTGGAGGGAAGCAGAGCCTGTGTGGAGAGGATGAGGCCAGGGCAGGCAGGTGGAGTGTGAGGCACCTAGGGATGTCTGGGGGCTGCAGGCCCCTGGCTGAGGCTCTGGAGCAGGAGTGGGGGCAGAGGTCTGGTCTGAGCAATTCTGGGAATCTTGGGCAGGGTGACCTGGGGAACACTGGCATTCTGGCCACAGGAACAGAGCAAGGATGGCCTGAGAGGTGAGGGGACAGCCTGAGGTCACAGGTGGCCAGATGTGGTGTGGCAGCGCTCTGGGGTCCTGCTGGAGGCTGGGACCTTGCATTTCTCTCTTAAGCCCAAGGCAAGCCACCCCAGGGCCAGTTTATACAAGGTGACCCAGGTCACAAGGCCACTGGGCAAGGGAGGCATGGGAGGGACACCAAACCTGCAGGCCAGCTCTAGTGGTTGCCCTCTTCATGCTACCTTAGACCAAGCTCTCACAGTGGCTTCCCCTTTCATCTCTGGGAGGCAGAGGGGGCCGGCCAGGTAGGGCTGCAGGGGCCCTGGAATCGCTGAGCTCCCAGCCCAGCCTGTGGGCCCCGCCCAAAGCCACAGGACAGGTGGCCCAGCCAGTGTCCCCTCTCCACCGGTGAGCCCAAGTGCCAGGTCTGCGTGGTCCCCTCCTGGCTGTGTGAGCCCGTCCCGGGTGTGTGCCTCCCTCCCGGCTCAGTGCGCCCCTCCCGGCTGTGTGTGCCCCTCCCGGCTGTGAGCCCCCTCCCGGCTGTGTGCGCCCCTCCCGGCTGTGTGCGTCCCTCCCGGCTGTGTGCGTCCCTCCCGGCTGTGTGCGTGCTGGGCCGCAGGCGCCAGGGCCGGGACCCGGACACTCCACAAAGGGCTCTTTGTGTGGCCGCGGCGCCCCCCGCGCGGGTGCCTGACCGAGGGCGGGAGCAGGGTCGTGGCGTCCGAGCCTCTGGGCTGCAGGGGGCGCGGAGCGGGCGGGCTGGCCCAGAAAACAAATCCTGCGGTGTCGCGTTTCCTGCAACGTGAGCCAGGTCGGGCGGGGTGAAGGGTCTGAGGCCACCTCAGGGACGCAGGGGCTGGAGAGTGGGGCAGGGGACAGCCCCCACTCCGTCACTCAGTCTTTGGCCGGGCCGCCTCACTCTCCCTCACTGAGCTGGGCCTATTTGGGGGCAGCTGCGACGGGGCGGGAAGCCACGCTGTCACCCGACCCCGCCTTACGGCCCCTGAAACCCGAGGCTTGAGCGCGGGTGTCGGTGTCGCTTTCGGATGGGGATGGTTTCCAGATGCAGGAGGGGAAGCAGGGGGACGCGACCCGGAGCCGGGGGCCAAATATGAGAGGCCCCCTCTGCCCAGGATCAGCCCTCTCCCCTCTCCGGCGGGGATGAAGGTGGGGGCTCAGCTCCCAGCTTAGGGAGAGGCGCAGGGGGCGGGGTCACATCTGGCCTGGGGCGGGTGCAGAGCTGCGGCCAGGTGTGGCAAGGTAGTTGGCGCCCCCGTGGTATCCGCGACGGCTGGGGGGTTCGGCCTGGGATTGGCGGGCCCCGGGTGATGTCAGGCCGTCGGAGCCCATAGGCTGGCCGTGTGCGGGCGGCTGTAACCTGAGAGGAAGTATCAGGTAACGCAGGTGTCGGGTCCTGCCGCCCCCGCCGCCAGGTGCACAGCGGGGGCCACCAGCACCGTAGCAGGTAGGAGCAGCCCCCGGATGGGCAACCGGGGTCCGACCGGGGTCCG